ACTGTTACCAAATATTCCATCTTCTGTCTTCCAAAACCCATCTTGACACAAATCTCCATTCTCAACATTCATATCTTTTTGTATAGAGCATTTTATAGCATGTATTACCCAGCATAATGATTATTTACATGTATTGTTTGCTGCTCTATCTTGAAGAATCCAAGGGTCAGTTACAACTTCTAAAATGTACTTAGTAAATGATTCTTAAATACATGAAAACTGATGTAGTCAGAATGCAGTGTTCTAATCTGCAAATGTTTACATGGTTTTTGAAAATACCTCATATATCTATTTATGGGTGGTGAATATTATATAACTGTGTAACTACATATATACATACATATAAATATATATGTATAACAATATCCACGATAATCTCTATAATAGCAGGAGCTTTATTTTTAACTTTTAGAAACTCCTCTCATTGCATTATTTTTTAATTTCCAACAACCAAGTATGCAAACACGCAGAGAAAGTGATTTTTCTGGACAAATCATGCATATATATATGTCATACTCTAAATAATAACATTACACATTACAGCCATTTTTTAAAGTTTTTATTTATTTATTTTTGAGAGAGACAGAGAAAGGGAGAGTGTGTATGCATGAGTGGGGGAGGGGTAGAGAGAGAGAGAATCCCAAGCAGGCTCCATGCTGTCAGCACACATACAACACGAGGCTCAATCTCACAACGCGCGATAGTGACCTGAGCTGAAATCAAGAGGTGGACACTTAACCGACTGAGCCACCCAGGCACCCCTACAGTCATTTCTAAGTAATACCCAGTAACTAAGGATTGTGTCTGGGACATTCCTGAAAGTGATCAAATCCATGCATACATACACCATAGCCATACTGAATAGTCCAGGGACATATGCCCTGAAACACAGCTGCCACTCAAGCCTTCTGCAGCTGGTCAAGTCTAAGGTTCTTTGTTTCCAAGTGCCAGAAACTAATTCTTAGCCTAGTTCACTCCGGATTCAGAGATCTGCCTGTTTTCACAGAGTCCCAGAGTCTGTGGGTCTCTTCTCATTTGCTTGTAAGTGGTAGGGATCAGGTAACCATTGTGTTCATATTCACATGCCCATACAACCCAACTAAATGTAAAGTGTAGAGGTGAAGAAGGATATCATTTTAAGTGCTTAATGTAGCCATACAGGAGAGACAAATAAAAAATAAATGTCATACTTCTTGCTAGGGAAGATATTTCATTGTTATTCAAAAAATATAAATATGTCCATGTTTCTGTATAATTACTGAGGGTGAAATTTCTATTCATCTTGAACCCTAATTTGTACAAGTGTAGTCTTGGCTAAAAGGAAAAGTCTTTAAAATACCTCTTGGTTCCATTGTTACAGAGGTGTAGAGTGCCAAAAAAGAGAGCATCTAGGAAGAGCCTGAGCAAATAGTAATAGAGGCCATTTTCAAGGCAATATGGAGCTGGTGACAGGCATTTGCAGAGCAATTTGCAGAGAGAAGCATTCTTAGGAAAACCAATGATAAAAGCTTTGCACTTAATATGAACCTGGGGCAAATGCACACACAGAGACCAAGACGTTTTTGAAAAAAGTAATAAAGCTCAATTATAAGGATACAATCATTACAGAGCAAAACACCAAGGAACAAGAATAGAGCACTGGGGAGAAAAATGTAAGAAACAATCAACCAAAGCTAAAAAATGCACGAAGATAACAGACTATCTATTTATTATGAATGTATGTGTTAATTTATTTATAACCTGTTTCAGTCAATGAAGGATTTGAGGCAGACAAAACATTCTCTTAAATACATGAGGCTAAGATTTCTTTATTTCCTGAGAGAGGAGAAAATGGAAATTAATACCAGAACAATTTTATATATATGAAGTCTTTTGTTATATAAATATGCTTATGCTAGCTATATAGTTAGCTGTTCAGATTTCTCATTCTATATGTGGATTAAGTCATTAGCAAACTATCCTTTGTTGACTTTTCATGTAGCCAAGTGTAGTATATAATCAGATATTTGTAACAAATATAAATAGACTATTTCTTTTGCTAAATAGACTATTGGAAATTATCAAAATCTCAGTGTTCTGAGTGCTCCTTTCTGTGTGAGACTACCACTCACTATATTAACTCTAGTGGGAACCTCATAAGTGTTGCTGATAGGGTATTTGTCAAGGTGTTTTTCCCCCTCTTTGGTTGCAAACAAGTAAAAAAAAAAAAAACTTTAAAGTCCCCAAATAAACAAAATATGACAAAACAAAATCTGGAATAATTTAGGGGGAAATGTAACTTATTGATTGGGACCTTTTCACAAAATCAAAGAGAGATTTGACCCCAGAAGGACAGATATAGAGCAGCTATACGGATCTTAGCTACGGAGGTTCACAGATTATTTTTCAAACTATTGTCATTCATATGATTCAATACTGCTGACTACCAATTTAGTATCTCTCTCTAGTACAAATTCCACATTCCCAGGAGAGAGACTCCCACTGGTCCAGCTGAGATGTGATATTTACCCCTAGATCAGTCAGGCATGGCCAGGAACAGACTCACATAGCCCAAACATGACCACTAAAAGCCCACCTTTGTGAACTGGGGTTACTCACAGAGAAAACAGAATCGTTATGGGTCATCACTCCTCTAGAATCTGCCCCACTGGGAGATGTAATTAGTTTTAAATAAACAGCAAAGGAAATCTATGAAACCCACAGCTCTTAATTCCATAGCAGAAGTAAGGAAAAACTTCTTTCTGATGTTCTCCCCAGAGAATTGAGAATCAGACTATTTGGCATTTCTGACTTGTGATCTTCAGGAAGGGTCTTAAATGGAGTCATCTATTTAGTCACAAATGTCCTATAACAGAAAGACCTCATCTGGCATTCCAAGATCCTACAGGGTCCAACTCCAAGATAATAGTGAAAGATAGATTATTTTTTAATAGTCCAAAAGACAGAATTCTAATAATGGACTTACTTGCAATAAGACTGCACAAATAAGTGAAATGTCAAATTTCTTTTATTTGGTGCTGAAATTATCAGTGAAGTAGAGGATCAGCTTTCTTATTGGTGTTACATATGAATTATCTTTTTTTTTTTCTCTTTTTTTCTTTTTTATTTTTTTTCAACGTTTTTTTTTTATTTATTTTTGGGACAGAGAGAGACAGAGCATGAACGGGGGAGGGGCAGAGAGAGAGGGAGACACAGAATCGGAAACAGGCTCCAGGCTCCGAGCCATCAGCCCAGAGCCGACGCGGGGCTCGAACCCACGGACCGCGAGATCGTGACCTGGCTGAAGTCGGACGCTTAACCGACTGCACCACCCAGGCGCCCCTGAATTATCTTTGATAAAATGGGCATAGTCTCTTATTTATCTTTGTACCTCCAGAAACTGACATGGTCCCTGACACAGCTGAATCAAACTACTAAATTTTGTCTAGTTTGAAACAAAATTCTTCAAAATACACACTGAATGGTACTCTGTGAAGGAAAACTGTAAAATGACCCTTGAAGATAAGAAATGGAAACCATGCACCTAAGAAGGTAAAATACTATAATTATCCTTCTTCACCAACAAATGTAAAAGTTGTAGATAATTTAATAACATTTACTAAAGAGGAAGTCAACAGATTGAATAGTCCTGCCTTGAACCTGTTATTAAAGAGCACTTTCCATATACCAGGGATTTACCTAGGTGTAGGTATACTAGGACCCTGAGTAGCACACAGTCTCTTTGGTGCAATAGACATATAAACCAGTAATCATGAGACAATATCATCAGGGATACAATAAAAGGAGTGACACCTAAAGAAAGAGAATTATTAAAACTCATCCTTTTCCTGGCATCAGCAGAGTCCCTAAGCACACACTCCCCTCTGACCATCTGCTCACAAAAGTGTGACATTTTTATTCTCCAAGTCTCCAGCAAGTCTGGGCTGCCTCCGCACTGCAGGAATGCCTCCAAAATTTTGCATCATCATCTCTCCTTCATTAAAAGTGATCCCACTTTCTCCTCCTTCCACAAATAAACAAAAACAAGGAGTCTTCATGCTCTTACAAATCTGAATGAAAAGTAGGCTCCTGCAGGCCTACTGCCTTAGAAGGCAGGCATAAGTCATGCTATGATAACCGGCTGCACCTTTCAGGAGCTGGTACCTCAACAATAGATGAGGACATTTAAGACGTTCCACATATCACATTACATTGCTTGCAAGGTAGGTCCAATGAGGGGAATGACCAAAAAAATAATTTTCAAACTCCTTGTCCCCATCACACACAAATTATTTTATGATAGGCAAACTGTCAGTTACAGCACACACATTTCCCAAAGGAACTACTATCCTATCTATCAGGCAATGCACATTTGGAGAGTATCATCCAGATCAGCCACTTTCTTCACTTACTTTGTATCACAGTGTAGTAGAATGAGTTCATGAAAGGAGAGTTAGGGTGTCCGGGACTATTCACAGCTTTAGAATTGATGCACTATTCTTACTCCCTTTGCGTTTAAATCTCCCATTGGTAACACAGGGATAATGACATAGTACCTGTTTGTTTCTAAGGCACTTGAAAATTCTCTGATGGAAGATTTCACACAATGCAGAGACTATTATTATACCAGAAAGACTTGAAAATTGGAATTCTGTGTACTCATCACTATTAAACAGTCAACACAACAATGACAGAAGAGAAAGCATCCTTCTCTAAAGCATCTAAAATCAAGTATTGCTGAATATGCAGCTACTGAAAAAAAAACACATGTGCAAATATATTCATTTTAATGACTATCCAAATCTAAATCATCAATAACCCATTTAAATAAATCTTTTGCAAATTATCCTGACTCCAAAAAATGCATAAATCCCTAATCACAGGTATTTATTATAATACAGAGCTTTCTGAAAGTACATTCTCCTTTCTAGAATTTCAGAAAGGATTCTAGCCCATTCCACTAAAGTTGTTCCAAAATATGAAAATAGTTCTTTAGCCAATTTTGAAATAATCAAACTTACAGTACAGTGGTGGACAGGCATCCAAGCAGGGGCTTCCACTGAACAGTTCTGGGCTGGGCATTTGCCTTGGTTTTGCTGGAAATAAGTAAAATTGATGTTATGTTTTATATATTATGTGCAGAAATATATACAAGCTGACATGTTTATCATCACGGTGTTTATTACCTTATTTACAAGTATAGGAGAAGCTTTTGAGGATGATTTTTTGGTGCAGTGCTGCAGAAAACTAGGTATGTAATTTCTCCTCTTATCAAGGCATAAGAAATTATCTTTTGCTGTTGTTCATATTACTCTACGGACTGGGTTTTTGGCCCCAGGCTTCTTCAGCAGCTGGCCTTACAGGCCCCAGTGGGAACCATGTGAGAACTCAGAAGTAAAACTTGTCTCCTCTCTTCTAGGCTCTCAGACAACAATGATACTTGCTGTACCCATTCAAGATCACATCCATTAAGGTACAGATAGACTCATTTACTTGTCTTCCCTTCCAGACTGTGAGCTAGTGGTGTTGATTCTCCCTGGGGCATTTCATAGAACCCCAGGATGTAGAGCTACATAGAACAGATCTTAGAGGTCTTTCTTGTTACATCAGAAAATGAGATGCAAAGAAATGAAACAAGGAACACAGAGATTTGACATTGTAAGGCATTTGCCAGGCGTTTCTTTTTACATAAGAAATTTATCTCTAGCTGACCTATTCTTTTGTTGTAACTCCTATAAATTCATTTCTAATTGGCTTTGTAGAAAGAATGAAGCTCTTCCCTTTAAGTAACAATACTGCTTCATCCCTATAATAATGAGAACTCATAAGTGTTAAAAAAGGGAAGGCAGTGATTCAAATAAAACATCGCTTACCTTTTATTTACTTTATTCTACACTCCATTATAATATAAACATACTAATAATAATTCTAGCAATAATCATAAAAAATATAGCTCTGATTTATTGAGCTAGTAAATATGCTAAAGATTGTTCTAGACACATTGTATTATGACTAGTCATCACAACAAATATGGATAGAAGTGTTAGTATTCCCATTCTACAGGGGAGTAAACTGAGGCTCAGAGACAGTAAGCAACTTGCCCAAAAGCTACCCTAGCAGAAAGCAGCATAGCTCAGATTACATCAAGAATCTGACTGACTCTTGTGCATATGTATCCACCCTCTATGAGAAGATGTCTCTTGTATTTTTCAATTTCTATCCAATTAATGGGGCTTAAGACATGTCATCAGCTAATGCAATTCCACATTATCAATGATCCTAATATGTCTTATTTAACTGGAATAAAATATTAAATTCAACACTTGTGCTAAAAATTATTTTTTTGTGATTTGTAAGCTTTTTAGAACAACCTTTATTTAGGTGATCTATTTTTAAGGCATCACTAAACTCTGAAGTGCTGTTTGAGTGATTATTGATAAAGCCACCACAAAAATACACTTAGATATTCAATATCCATGCTCAGTTTTCTTATTTAAATCAAAATATGACATATAGTATCAACAGGGTACATAAAGTAAACTTGACTAGTGTCAGATGACCACAGTTTGAAGCTAAGCTCAACCATGCACTTGCTGCCAAGAGATGTGCTGAGTCTTGGTAGTCACATATGTAAAACAGTGTTAGTATCTTGCCTTGTTCATACAAATATTATTAGACGATAGATATAGATTCACCTCAGACCATTGCCACAATTTGCAAGAACACACAAAGTAACAGGGAAATTTTATTTTCCTTTTCTGATAGCTTAAGCCAGATAAATAAATATAATTTATCTACATATGAGGTTAAGCTTTTTGAAATTCTAAAATGCTATTTAAAATGCTAATTATTATTATTTATAATTATGAGAATTAATTACAAACAATATTAATGGTGAGGAATATCTCTTTTATAATAATTTATAATAGTTATCATTAGTAGTAGTAATAAGCTTGTTTTGTACCTAGATAATGTTTATCTGTAAGGAGCACATGGCAAAGAGGCAAATAATAATTGAGCTATGCCTGCGTGGGGGAATATAAGTACTCATAAAGTGTGATGTGGGCATAAATAAAGAGGGTTTGAGCTTTTATGGATGCACAGCATAAAGATGGAAATCTGTGTCTCTCTGACTCCATTACTACATGCGCTTTGGATCCTAAGGCCTTCCCATCAGTGGTTTTTGTTTTTTTTTTTTAATTTTTTAACGTTTTTTTTTTTTTTTGAGAGAGAGAGACAGAGACAGAGCATGAATGGGCAAGGGGCAGAGAGAGAGGAAGACACAGAATCCCAAGCAGGCTCCAGGCTCTGAGCTGTCAGCACAGAGCCCGATGTGGGGCTCAAACACATGAACCTTGAGATCACGACCTAAGCTGAAGTTGGACATTTAACCAACTGAGCCACCGAGGCTCCCCACCATTAGTACTTTAATGGAGCAGATTAACAGTATAATTATACAGGGGCAGACACATGAAAAGGCCTACTGAAGACAGAGGCCACACGGACATAAATTATTATGCATAGTGTGTGACCAGAAAAAAATTAAATCAGAATATGTCAGAATCTTGGATTTCAATAGGGTTCCCATTAATCCATCTGTGAAACCTGGGGAAAGTTACTTTAAAACTTTAAATCTCACTTTTCTTATGTATAAAATAAGAAGATTTCATTAGATCAAATTCAGTGTGGAGAGAAGTGTCATTTACCCATGGATCTTTTCCAAACTTCACATTCTTTCCAAGATTTTAATATGTTCCCTATTCCAAAGGGGTGCACCCTCCAGTTGAAAACCCCTATCGTTCTGATCTACCGTTTACCATAAGATATAATTATTCTTCTGTGAGTTTGAGATATAACAAAGGTTGAGAACAGTCAGTAGAGATGGCCTCACAAGAGCTTTCAACTCAAGTTTGTTTATTGAAAGGCCTAACCTTAGGTTTTTCCTAAACCTTCCTTCCATCTACTTTTTTTTTTTTTTAACTTACATCTAAATTAGATAGCATATAATGCAATAATGATTTCAGGAGTAGATTCCTTAATGCCCCTTACCCATTTAGCCCATCCCCCCTCCCATAACCACTCCAGTAACCCTCTGTTTGTTCTCCATATTTAAGAGTCTCCTATGTTTTGTCCCCCCTCCCTGTTTTTATATTACTTATGCTTCCTTCCCTTGTGTTCATCTTTTCTGTTTCTTAAAGTTCTCATATGGGATGGCGGCGTAGGAGGACGCTGGGCTCACCGCGCGTCCTGCTGATCACTTAGATTCCACCTACACCTGCCTAAATAACCCAGAAAACCACCAGAGGATTAGCAGAACGGAGTCGCCAGAGCCAAGCGCAGAAGAGAGGCCCACGGAAGAGGGTAGGAAGGGCGGCGAGGCGGTGCGCGCTCCACGGACTGGCGGGAGGGAGCCTGGGCGGAGGGGCGGCTCGCCGGCCAAGCAGAGCCCCCGAGTCTGGCTTGCAAAAAGCGGAGGGGCCTGACGGACTGTGTTCCGACAGCAAGCGCGACTTAGCGGCTGGGAGGTCATAAGTTAACAGCTCTGCTCAGAAAGCGGGAAGGCTGGAGGACAAAGGGAAGGAGAGCTGCTGAGCCCCCGGACCACAGAGCTCAGTTTGGTGGGGAACAAAGGCGCTCGCCAGCGCCATCTTCCCCGCCCATCCCCCAGCCAAAATCGCAAAGAGAACCAGTTCCTGCCAGGGAGCTTGCTCGCTCCGCGCAAACACCCAACTCTGCGCTTCTGCGGAGCCAAACCTCCGGCAGCGGATCTGACTCCCTGCTGCTGCCACAGGGCCCCTCCTGAAGTGGATCACCTAAGGAGAAGCAAGCTAAGCCTGCCCCTCCTGCCCCTGTGCACCTTGCCTACCCACCCCAGCTAAGACGCCAGATCCCCAGCATCACAAGCCTGGCAGTGTGCAAGTAGCCCAGACGGGCCGCCCCACCCCACAGTGAATCCCGCCCCTAGGAGAGGGGAAGAGAAGGCACGCACCAGTCTGACTGTGGCCCCAGCGGTGGGCTGGGGGCAGACATCAGGTCTGACTGCGGCTCCGCCCACCTACTCCAGTTATACACCGCAGCACAGGGGAAGTGCCCTGCAGGTCCTCACCACGCCAGGGACTATCCAAAATGACCAAGCGGAAGAATTCCCCTCAGAAGAATCTCCAGGAAATAACAACAGCTAATGAGCTGATCAAAAAGGATTTAAATAATATAACAGAAAGTGAATTTAGAATAATAGTCATAAAATTAATCGCTGGGCTTGAAAACAGTATAGCTGACAGCAGAGAATCTCTTGCTACAGAGATCAAGGGACTAAGGAACAGTCACGAGGAGCTGAAAAACGCTTTAAATGAAATGCATAACAAAATGGAAACCACGACAGCTCGGATTGAAGAGGCAGAGGAGAGAATAGGTGAACTAGAAGATAAAGTTATGGAAAAAGAGGAAGCTGAGAAAAAGAGAGATAAACAAATCCAGGAGTATGAGGGGAAAATTAGAGAACTAAATGATACACTAAAAAGAAATAATATACGCATCATTGGTATCCCAGAGGAGGAAGAGAGAGGGAAAGGTGCTGAAGGGGTACTTGAAGAAATAATAGCTGAGAACTTCCCTGAACTGGGGAAGGAAAAAGGCATTGAAATCCAAGAGGCACAGAGAACTCCCTTCAGACGTAACTTGAATCGATCTTCTGCACGACATATCATAGTGAAACTGGCAAAATACAAGGATAAAGAGAAAATTCTGAAAGCAGCAAGGGGTAAACGTGCCCTCACATATAAAGGGAGACCTATAAGACTCGTGACTGATCTCTCTTTTGAAACTTGGCAGGCCAGAAAGAGTTGGCACGAGATTTTCAGTTTGCTAGACAGAAAAAATATGCAGCCGAGAATCCTTTATCCAGCAAGCCTGTCATTTAGAATAGAAGGAGAGATAAAGGTCTTCCCAAACAAACAAAAACTGAAGGAATTTGTCACCACTAAACCAGCCCTACAAGAGATCCTAAGGGGGACCCTGTGAGACAAAGTACCAGAGACATCACTACAAGCATAAAACATACAGACATCACAATGACTCTAAACCCATATCTTTCTAT